AAGTTAGAGTAAGGATGGCAATGGATTTATAACTGCTCAAGCTGATAACACTAGATCATGGCATGGAGGAGGAACAGTGGAAATGTATCCACATTTACAACATTCCTCTTACCAAAACCATTTATGGAAAATAGGTACTGCATTGGAACATGTATCTCTGGATTGGAAATGATGATATTGTTAATACTTCTAGCCTTAAGCTATTTTAATCCTTTTTAAACTTTTCAACTTGATGGCAGTGAATTTCATTAGTTGATGGCACTGAGTTTTATTAGTTCTGGTGGCTTAGTGGTAAGGAGCGATGCTGCGAGCCCAAAAGCATGTGGGTCAAATGTGCCAGCTGCTATGTGAGAGAAAGATGGACAGTCTTCTCCTGTGAGAATTTCAGCCTCTGAACAAAACCAGTAGAGGATCAACTATGAGTAGGTTCTGGCTTAGCATACATAATAAAAGCTCTGCTTATAAGGAACTCGGCTATTCAGTGCACAGCTGCTAAACACAAGGTTGAGGCTGAACACAGAGTAGGATAAATGAAGTGCCATTCATTCTGCTTCTACAGAAATGTAAAGCCTTGGATGCTCTGTGGGGCATTCTGCTTTTTTATACAGAATCACTATGATTTAGAATTTAATTCACTGGGAATAGATATGAACTGTTATCTATGTGTAAAGATAGAAATCTATGCTAAATTATTTACAAGGGTTTGTTTACAGGGCCACATTATTTGCTTAGATTATTCTACGCAGTCTGCTGTAGTAATCTTGTCTCTTTTTTAAAAAATCACTTTCTCCTCAGTGATCCTTTGTACCAGTATCTGAGATAAATATCTCCTTAAAGCCCACCCCCAAGTGGCTACCGCTACCATTTCCATTGGGTTGCTGGTATGTGTCAGTTCCTACTCTTAGTGGTGGTTGCATTGCTTTCCAGTAGAGGCGTCATGCGAGTGGCCACAGCCTCCATGTTGGATGAGCCTCATTTCTAGTGGAGACAGGGCATAGACTTGTCCTAGTGGAGACGCCAGAGCCATGGGCAGTACTGTGATAGCAATTGGTCTGACTGTTACTGCTGCTGCATTTGTAGGCTCAGGCTATACAAGCAGCAGTCTGAGCATAACAGATTACAGTGAGAACTGCAACTCAACAGCACTTGTTTTTCTAGATCTCATTGTTGCAGTCCGAGGGTAAAGTATTTTTATAATTATTAATAATGAGACAGACAGCCAAGAATGAGATAGAACAGAGAGCATAAAACAGGGGGCCAGCAGTTTTCGAATGGGCTCAAGCCATGCCTCTCTGTGTATTTATTGATAATTAGGGGAAGCAAATCATAAAAAGAATTCCTTGTAAATGAAGCCAAATTTTTCTCTATTGTCAACCTAATGCTTTAGCTCAGGAAGTATTTCACACATACTAACACTCCCTTTGTAGTGGGGCCCTAACTGTCTCTTGTCTGCAGGAAACAGCTCATTTTTTTGTGATCTGCCACAAGAGAAATCCTAACTTATATATTTGCAATTCCTTCAATTCTTGAACAAGAATTCTTCTTCTCTATTGAGGTTACTATGGACTGCTAGGAAAACAAACAGATTCATCCTGGAAAGGGTTAAACCAGGCGGCTCCTTGGAAGCAAGGATTCTGAGACTCCATCTAACATACTTTGGACGTGTTCTAAGGAGGGACTGGTCCTTGGAGAGGGACATCATGCTTGGGAGGGTAAAGGGACAGCACAGGAGGGGAACGCCCTCTATGAGGTAGATTGATTCAGTGACTGGGGTAATCAGGATGGGTAAATCAGAGATAGTATGATTGGCACAGGACAGAGCAGAGTTTAGGGCTGTTGTACATAGGTTCGCTGTGAGTCACAAGCTACTTGACAGATCATGACAATAACAACAACATACAAAAACAAATAAACATAATAAACTCAAAGAAATACTTTGAAAAATCTCCACATTATCAGAAGAATTCAGGTTGAATATTCCTGGAGAGTCTGTTTTTATTGTCTTATTGCCACAGTCCTTGTCAAAACTAGTTCTGATTAATCTCCTTTTTCAGTGTGTCCTTTGCCATTCCCTATCACTCCTTCTTGTGAGAGATTTCACCCTGATTCATTAGGAGAGGGGCACCATATTTTCTTAGCTACTTCCTGCTGGAAAAGGACTTTGTAGGTCTCTAGGTGAAGATCTTCTCTCACTACTCTAAAGGGTCTCTTTGGCAATGGGAAACATGTAGACTATTGTGACGATTGATTTTGGGATTTAGATGCACTGTTTGGAATCAATTGTGCTTAGGGATACAGCTTCATATTCTTGGAGATGCATCATGGAACTCTTGACAGCCTAGTAGACACAAACTTAAGTAACAAGTTAAAAATAAAAATAAAATATATGGGCCAAAAATTAAAAGCAATAATATTTCAACTAGAGGTTCTAACAGTGGCACAAACCAAGTTACAGAGGGAAAATAGTTCTTAAAGTAAAAGGCTTATTGGCTGGCACTTTGTCTATTATAAAGGTTAGGAATCACAAGATATAGAGGCACAACTATGTCATTTATCTTTTCTTAAGTCCTGACCAAATTCCATTTACCGTTGGGTTGTTTTACAGTTAGGAAGTCCACCTACAAGGCACGGGGCGAGTAAAGAACTGCTTATGAGGTTTTCCATCATTTCCAACAACTAAGGAAAAGTGGGAAGAGAGTAGACCTGAGAAGGCGTGTAGGACCGAATAATAGGCTCATGTGTCTGGGAGAAAATGGATATACTTACCAACAATCTTAATGCTCACCTATGGCTCTTCTGTGAGGACCTGAATTGTTGAAGCGTCCCCCTTTGTTTCCAGCTGGGATCCAGGGCTTGACAGTCATCTTTTGGCCATGGGACCTGATGTGGGCAGCCCTTGGCCAAGTGTCCTTCAGATCCACACTTAAAGCAAGTGAGTGGGAGCTTCCTCTCTACTCCCTTGCCTATCTGTGGCTCTCGTCTGTGACACTTGTCTACTGACGTAGCCCAGCTTTCCACAGTGGAAGCAATTCTGACTTCCCTTATTACCTTTGGGTAGCATTGTTTATAAGTAAGACTTCCTTTTCCTGACACAGGCCCTAAACTGGCAGCAATAGCTGCCTCAATAATTTTGGCCATTCTCTGGTCTTTTCTCTTCCCTCTAGATCCCAGTTGTTAAAAGAGGGATAAATTTAAATAAATATATAAAAAATAATTTTGAACAATATAATCTTGTAAGTTTAAGGCTAGTAGTATTATCAGTATGATTGTGTGGATAATTTCCAATCCAAAGAGATACATATTCCAAAGCAGTTCCTATTTTGGTAAGAAAAATACTGTAAATGTGGGTACAGTTCCACTATTCCTCCTCCATGCCATGATATAGTGTTATTAACATGAACAGTTATAAATCCATTGCCTTCCTGACACTAACTTAAATTTTTGGGCGAGCTCTGGTGGCCTAGTGGTAGGAAACTGTACTGCAATCCCAGAGGTGCGCAGTTCAAAGCCACCAGATGCTCTGCTGAAGAAGGAGGAACAATCACCTCCTGTACCAGTCAGATCCAATTTGACGGTACACACATCTCCATGGCACCTAACAACAATAACATAATAACGAAAACAGAGAGAGAGCTACATTGGCCTAGCAGACAGACAGTTAAGCTACCAAGCCTAAGGTGGGTGATTTTAATCTGCGGCCCTCAGGCTAGATTCAGATTGTTTTTCTGTCAGACATTCTTCTAGGTGGTATAGCACTGGTCTGTGCATTGCTGTACAGAGGTAACTTGTTGTTGCTGTGATGCTGAACACTGTGACACTGATGTGCCAAATGTGGTAATGGTTATCCATGGTGGACAGTGTTTGGTGGACCTTCCCAATTAAAATAAGCCTGGAAGCAGGAGTGGCATCCACTTCCGAAATGGCTTGCTTCCAGAAACTCTGTGAACAGTGCTCAGGCCTTTCGTTCATAGGGTTGTTATTAGTCGTCTACGACTTGACAGCACCTAACAACAACAACATATGCCAGAGGTAAGCATTTTAAACTCTCAGTACCATATGTCATCTCTTAGAGATACATTATACCTTGGAAACCTATACAAATGCCATCACACCACAGCAGAGTTTGTGAATCAGCAAGGACAGCAAAATATTCTACCTATGTATTTCTCATACAAAATCTCAAATTCCTTGCTTATTCATGCAGATTTTATTGTAAAATAAAAAATAATTGGAATGGGGGGAAAACAAAAAAATTAATTGCTAGGAGGTGGTATGGAGTGGGTTCTATCTCTAGTTATTTCCCTTTTGTCTTCTTACACTGTACAACATTGGCATAGCTAGGATTTTATATGGATTGCTAGACTTTTAATAAATGGTTGTTTATTGCCTGGGTAGAAAACATTTCGACCCATGAAATATGTCAATAAACATGTTTTAAGAAACTTTTTCTATGTACCTTACCAGGGACACACAAAAAAAATGAATTTTTTCAAAGTTGGAAAATACTTTACAGTGGTGGATATGCCGGGTTACGGCTACAGAGCACCTGAAGATTTTGTTGACATGGTAGAGACCTATCTGAAAGAACGGAGGAAGTAAGTTCAACATTTTCTTACAGTGATTGTCTTTTTAACCTTAAAGCCCTTTTTATCAACAGAATATTCTGTACATGATTAACGCTTTAGTTTTGTCAAATGAGAAATGAGTTTTGTCCTAAGTATTTGCTGCTTACTTGCATTTTGCCTGTTGGTGTTAGGTGCTGTTGAGTATGACTCATAGCGACCCTATGAACAAAATATCTGAACCCCCTTTTATCCTGCACCATCCTTATACATCCTGACACACAAGAGCCCATTGCAGCTGTCACCATTTCAGTCCACCTGGTCAAGAATCTTCCTCTCCTTCACCAACCCTCCACCCTTCAGGCATCGTGCCTTTTCCAGGGAATAGCCCTTCCCAGCCCAAAGTATGTGAGGTGAAGCCTTATCATTCTTACCTCCAAAAAGTGTTCTGGTTGCACCCACTCCAAGCCTGTACTCAAGCTTAATCTTAAATGTTTTCCTAAATTGAGACTGTCAAGATATTAAGGACCTGAACAGAAGGTTTGAAAGGGCAGTGTGGGAAGACAAAGTAAAGTATTACCATGAAATGTGCAAAGAGCTGGAGTCAGAAAATCAAAGGGGCCAGACTCGGCATGATATTTCTTAAGCTGAAGTAAAGGAACTGAAGAACAAATTCAAGCTTCAAGTTGCAATACTTAAGGATGCCTTGGGAAGAATATTAAATGATCCAGGAAGCATTAAAAGAAGGTGGAAAGAGTATACAGAGTCATTGTACCAAAAGGAATTGGTGGACACACAAGAATTTCATGGAACAAGAGCAAGAGTCTGTGGTGATGAAGAAGTTCAAGCTTGAAAGTTTCAACCTGAAAGAATTGGCAAAAAACAAGGCGGTAGGAATTGATGGCATACCAATCAACAAACATGCTGCCCTGGATGTGCTCACCAAGTTGTGCCAAGAAATCTGGAGGACAGCCACCTGGCCAACTGACTGGAAGAGATCTATATTTGTTCACATTCAAAAAAAGGTGATACAACAGATGGAAATTATCAAACAATATTATTAATATCACATGCAAGCTAGATTCTTTTTAAGATTATCCAAAACGACTGGAGCCAAAACTGCCTGAAGTGCAGGCTGGGTTTAGAAGAGGCCCAGTACTAAGGATATTACAGATAATGTTAGATGAATCTTGGCTGAAAGCAGGAAATACCAGAGGAATGTCTGTCTGTGTTTCATTGACTATGCAAAGACGTTTGACTGTGAGGATTACAACACACTGTAGCTGACTCTCAGAAGAATGGGAATCCCAGAGCATTTGATTGTGCTTATGCAAAACCTAAATTTGGACCAGAAAGCAGTCATCGGAACAGAGCAAGGAAACACTGCATAGAGGCTGGGCTCTATAAAAAGGATTGGAGATAGACTCATCAACAATCTGCATGATGCAGATGATACAACCTTGCTTGCTGAAACTGAAGAGAACCTGAAGTGCTTGCTGCAGAAGGTCAGGGACTGCAGCCTTCAATATGGATTGAAGCTCAACATCAAGAAAACAAAGATTCTCACCACTGGGATGCTTAGCAGCATCATGATAGATGGTGAAGAGATTGAGATTGTTAACTGCTTCAGTTTGCTTGGCTCTACAATCAACACTCTTGGTGCCAACAGCCAGGAAGTTAAAAGACAAATTGCATTGGGAGAGTTTGCTGTCAGAGGCCTCTCCAAGGTACTGAAGAGCAATGATGTCAGTCTGGAGACTTAAGATGCATCTGATCCAGGCCATGGTCTTTGCAATTTCTTGCTGTGCATCAGAAAGGTAGACAATGACTAGGGATGATAGAAGGAGAACGGATGCCTTTATCTGTGGTGCTGGAGGAGTATTGAGTATGCCATGGACTGCCACGAAAACAAACAGATTCATCCAAGAGAGGGTGAAACCAGGTTGCTCCTTGGAGGCAAGGATTCTGAAGCTTCGTCTGACAAACTTTGGACAGGTTACAAGAAAGGACCAGTCCTTGGAGAGGGATTGTCAAGCTTGGGAGAGTGGAGAGACAGCACAGGAGAGGAAGACCCTCAATGAGATGGATTGACTCAGTGACTGGGGTAATGGGGGGATAGATATGTCAGAGACAGTAAGATTGGCAAAGGATAGAGCAGAGTTTAGGACTATTGTACATAGGGTCACTATTAGTCACAGGCAACCTGACAGCACATAACAACAAAAACAAAATGTGCAAACTCTTAGCTGGCTAATTTTGTAAATGAAAATACTGGCTGATGGTTTCAGATTGAAATAAACCATTCTGGTTATTCTTCAAATATTTTTTATTCACATCATCTGTAAATCTTAGCTATTTTTTTCCCCAAAGGTAGTTAGGTAACAGTTTTGTGTTTAAAAAATTAAACACTATATATTAAGAAGAAAAAATTTAAGCTTGAAGTATAAAGAATTGTTTACACATGTTTTGCTTGCAGGATAATAATGAATTTTCATAGAAACTGAGATGAAATATTTGTATAAGAAAATGCAAACTAAAGACACTAAGTTAAACATCTCTATCATAATTGATTCAGTATCTCTTTGTCCTCTTGAACTTTGAGTTCTTGGAGAAAGGACTCATTCAGTTATATCTAGTACCAGGCAGAGTGGTTAATATGAGCTTATTGAATTAAATGAATGTTTACTAAGTGTTTTTCAAAATAGACAACTTTAAGACATATTAGACGGTAGTGTGAACTTCCTGGTGAACTTATAATTCCTTTTGCCTTAAGAAATGTATAATTTTGTTTAGAGAATCAGAAATAAAGTTTTTCTCTGGTAGGGAGCTCTGCTGGTCTAATCTGCCGTGAGCTGCACTGCTTAACCCAACAACTGTGCTTCTCCTTTGCTTTGAATCTAGCAGCTTTTCAGGAGAAAGATGGGCAGTCTCCTTCCGTGAGAGTCCAGCCTCAGAAACACAATGGAGCGTCAGCTATGAGTTGGTTCTGATTGGACAGCAGTGAGCGGTGGTTGCTGCTGTTTTTAGTAGGGCTTGGAAGAAGAGAATCAAGAATACTTATATTTTTTATTGTGATTAATCTTTATATCTGCATTCTTACAGCTTGGTGAGAACATTTTTGTTAGTGGATAGTGTTGTTGGAATTCAAAAAGCAGACAATACTGCCATAGAAATGTGTGAAGAATTTTCATTACCTTATGTGGTAAGTGTTGTTAGTTTTTTTTTAATCATAGATGTAGTTTGAAATACCAGTTCGTGTGTGTGTGTGTGTGTGTGTGTGTGTGTGTGTGTGTGTGTGTGTATGTGTGTGTGTTTCTGTCATTAGTATTTTTTATAATTGAAAAATGCAATTATTAGAAAATTCCATTTTCTAGAAATTCTTTTATTTCCTAGAAAAATCAAATCAATTAGGGATTTACCTTTATATTGATTTTGAAATCTTCTGTGCCTTGACCCTCCTCCAGTATGTAGTGTCTTAAGAAAAGTATAGGTCTGAGCTTAATTGGAACATAATTACTATAGTAGGTACAACTTACAAATCTGATTTTCATTTTCCCCATTAAATCATTATATATAAAGTTGAGTCATTTAGTAGAGTAAATAAAAATAACCACAAATTGACAGTTTTGTATGGTTCATTTGTAGTTACACTTAGGGAGCTCTGGTGGTTTAGTGGAAGGAATTCTACTCACCGTCAACTCAAAGGGGCACAATTCTGTTCCACCAGCTGCTCCGTGGGAGGAATCAACTCCAATGCAATTTATGCCTCTGAAAATCTGCTAGAAGGTCAGCTTTGACTCATTTCTAACTTAATGGTCCACATCAACAGTAACAATTATACTTACATGTGTATCTTAGACCACAAGATAGATTGTGATCCTGTGAAACATTTAGATTGTAGCAATTGCAGTTGTGGTCTTGAATCTTCTTTGTCTTATATCCAGGATATTATGATACTTTGTGCTAAAGCATAGTAAGTACTTTACCTGCTTCAAACATTAGCTCATCATTTTCATAGACTCCCTTTTACCTTAGATGCTTTTACCTTAGATGAGGAAACTGGCACAGAGAGAGTAAAATTACACAAGTTAGAATGGTAACTGAAAAACTGTAGTTAAAACCAAGATATACTTTTATTCCTAATGTGTTAAAAATTGCTTTCTATAGATAGTATTAACAAAAATTGACAAGTCTTCCAAGGGCTACCTTTTGAAACAAGTACTTCAGATTCAGAAGTTTGTTGACACTCAAACTCAGGGATGCTTTCCTCAGTTGTTTCCTGTAAGGTAAGACTTTTAACTGTTTTTATAACTATTTTCTTCCAGCTTCTAATATGAAATCATTCTTTCTTACATTAAGAAGTCTTTTAAAATTAGAATAGTTTAAAAGACTGTACATGTAGCCAATAGTGCTTGGTATATTCCATAGCACTTTTAATTCTTTTATTCCTCTCTGTTTTCTGCTTCTTTCTGGATTTCCTTACTTTATTTAATTTTTCCAATAGCCTAGTCCACAGCAGGAGTGAAAACATTTTGCCTTATAAAACCAGCTACACAATATCCATGGTAAAAATATTATTAGAGCTTGCTTTTAAAGTACCACATACAAAGAATTAAGTATTTCACAAAAGTTGCAGTAAGCATTAGTACTTGAGCTGGTAACTTCTGAGATATTATATTCTGATGATAAAGCAAGGGCTTGTTGGATAAAAGAAGTAACTTGTATGGCAGAGGTATAGTGGTTTTCTGCCATTTCTTTGTTGAAAGGTACTGTGCTAATTGATTTGAGAAAAGGATGACTATACTGTCTCCTGGAAGTTGTTTTAGATTTTGTCAAGACTTAACTTGTTTGGAATTAACATCATGCATATCAAAATCAAATCCTCTTCCTTCATTCCTGTAGAATATTCCTTCTTCTCCCTTGATTTAAATTTTAAAATTCATCATGTAAATCTGTCAGTATTCATACACATAAGTGATTGAAAATCTTGGGAACAGGAGTATAATCTTGATTCTGCTTAAAGCCCAGAGCATTGTAATATAAAAACTGGTTTGCTTTTGTTTTGTTTTAAACAGTAACACAGTGGAAGTAATGGGTCGGCTAAAAAGCTAATACAGGATTGGTCATTATGACTTAATAGCAACATTTATTGAAAGAACTTGGATAGGTTAGTTCACGTTGAGTGTGAATTAATAATATGACTGAGGAAACAGTCAGTGTTCTAGGAAGTGATCAAGCAACAGTGCCAGCTTCTGTGGCCAGGTGCCACCAGACCTGTCAGACCAGATTGTGGCTAGGCATTTAGAATCATTAGACTTACCTGAAAACAGTCTCAGGTGAGGTTACAAAGAAATGAATTACAAAAGTTCTTTAATCCTGACAGTACACATCCCGGTTATAAGTTACAGAAGTAAAGTATGTTTCAGAGAGGCATTTTCTGAAATAGAATGATCATAAACCTTAGTGTTTCTTTCCTTACCAGAGGTCAGAGGGTGAGTCAGTGTCAGGATCAGGCCTGCTACCCAGATTGTCAGATTTCTGGTGCTTTTTAGAGATAATGCCAGCATTCTCTGCTGGAATCATTGCTGCTACTGTATTCCACATGGCTGATTACCACACAGCACGAGGTCACACAGCATTCAAAATCTGGAAGCCTGCCAGCTTTCAAGAACTTAAACATTCACTGTCCCATAGTAACCATATACAGTAGAATGTTGTCAGGCTGTTCCCTAGTCCATCACCTGCAAGAGAGTCTGACTTTTTCACAAACTGTTATAAAAGTCCGGTGTTCTTTCCTCTTTTTTCTGTGCACTCTTGGTAGAGGGAGAATGGAAGCTTTCTTTATGCCTTTTGGCAGTAAGTAAGTGTTAACCATCATATTCTTGTTGTTATGTGCCGTTGGGTCGCCTGCAACCCATACCAGCCCTATGTACAGCAGCTCTTAAGCCCTGTCCTGAGCTAGTCTTACTAATTCCAACACACCAACCCCCCATTGCCCAGATCACTGTATCAATTCATTTCATCTGGGGTCTTCCTCCCCTGCGCTGTCCCTCCATCATTCTACAAGGCCCAGTTTCTCCTAGACACATGCCCAAAGTATGTGAGATGAAGCTTCAAAAATCTTAGTCTCCAAGGAGAAACTTGGTTTCACCCTCTCCAAGATAGACCTATTTGTTTTCTTGGCAGTCTGTGGTATGCTCAAGGCTCTTCTCCAACACCACAATTCAAAGGCATCAATTCTTCTGTCATCCTTAATCATTGTCCAGCTCTCTAATGCAATACCAAGTAATTGCAAAAACCATGGCCTGGATTAGGCACATTTTAGTCTTTAGACTGACATCATTGCTTTTCAGTACTCGGGAGAGGTCCCTGACAGCAGATTTTCATAGTGCACTTTGTCTTTTGCTTTCTTGATTATTGGTGTTAAAAGAGTGTTGATTGTGGAGCCAAGCAAGCTGTAAATGCTAGCATCATCAGTCTCATCTCCATCTATCTCCATCTATCATGCTGGTGCCAATTGGCCTAGTGGTGAGAATCTTTGTCTTCTTGATGTTGAGCGTCAGTCTATATTGAAGACTACAGTCCTTGACCTTCTGCAGCAAGCACTTCAGGTCTTCCGTTTCAGCAAATAGTGTTGTGTCATCTGCATAATGTACGTTGTTGATGAGTCTTTCTCTAACCTTGGTGCCACATTCCTCCTCATAAAGCCCTGCTTCCCACATGATCTGTTCTGCATACAGATTGAAAAGATAAGGAGACAGGATGCATTCCTGATGCACTCCTTTCTTGATTTTGAACCATGTAATGCTTCCCTGCTCTGTTCTGAGAACTGCTTCCTGGTCCAAGTATAGGTTTCACATAAGCACAATCAAATGTTCTGGGATTCCCATAATCCTCAAGGTTAGCTACATTTGGCTGTGATCATCCACACAGTCAAATGTCTTTGCATAGTCAGTGAAACACAGTTAGACATTCCTCTGGCACTCTTTGCTTTCTACCAAGATCTATCTGATATCGGCAAATGTCTCTAGTGCCACAACCTCTTCTAAACCCTGCTTGTATTTCTGGTAGTTCTTTGTCATTGTACTGTTCCAGTTGTTTTCTGGATAATCTTCAGCAGGATTTTGCTAGCCTGTGATATTACTGATACTGTTCGGTAATTTCCACACTCTGTCTGGTCACCATTACTTGGAATGGTAATAAACATGGATCTCTTCCAGTCAGTTGGCCAAGTAATTGTCCCCCAGAGTTCCTGGCACCACTTGGTAAGCACATTCAGGGCAGTATCTGTTTGTTGAAATATATCAGTTGGTATTCCATCAATTACTGGGGCTTTATTTTTTGCCGAGAATCAAGATCAAATTTTCATTCCTGTGGATATGATTTAACCTTCTTTAGCTTTAATTTGAAGTTGCATATGAGTAGTTGATGGTCTGTTCCACAATCAGCACCTGGCCTAGTTTTCACTGCTGATATTGAACTTCTCCAGTGATTCCTTCCACAGATATAATTGATCTGATTCCCGTGCATACTGTCAGGTGAAATTCATGTGTATAACCTGCATATATGTTGCTTTTAAAAGTATTTGCTATGAATAAATCATTGATTGTGAAGAATTCTATCATTCTATTCCCAGCCTCATTTCTGTCACCAAGTCCATATTTTCTGACTACTGTTCTTTCTTCCGGGTTCCCAACTTTTGCATTCCAGTCACCCATTATTATTAATGCATCTCGGTTACACATTTGATCCATTTCTGACTGCAACAGTTTGTAAGGCTCTATAAGGTTTAAGGCAAGGATCAGACTATTAACATTGTTTTTTAAAAAAACCATGGGGGGGAAAGGCATAGGAAAAAAATACTTAAGTAGGCTCAGTATAATAGTTTCTGTGGTTTTCTTCGTAGTGAAGTAACAGAAGTGTGAGTTGCCAGAAATGAAGCAGATGAGCTCAAGATGCCATGTTTAGTGAGGAAACTATTCAACTTATATTTCATTATATGAATAACTTCAGTTTTAATTCAGGAATTATTATGAGCTAGTCTCAAACAAACCCTTTCAGGCTAAAAGTCTACCATGCTGCACAGTCAAGAGGGAAATAGCAAAACAACAGAAAATGTTTTACCTTACTGTAAAACCAGAGTGTGTTTATGCCAGGGAAAGCATGTGATTGCTCTTTCCGTGCTGATGCATGGAGGGACATACAGGCTAACTAGATAAAGAATAGATGGTAAGACTGATACTTTTTAAGGGGGAAAAAATTGGAAAAAGGCCAAGATTTTAAAGTGAATGAGTTTTTTGTGATCAAGATATCTTAAGAAATCAGAAAGCAAAACAGGTGGTGAAATTTTTAGAATCGATGATTTTTAGAATACTAGAGGCAGAAGGTAAAGAATGCAATGGAAGGGCATTCTGCTTTCTCAAAAGTGATGAAGATTAGTGAGCTCTGATGGCCTGGTAGCAAGGAGCTGCACTGCAATCCCTGAGGTACATGGTTTGAATCCACCAGATGCTCTGCTGGAGAAGGGGAACAATTTCCTCCTGAACCAGCCAGATTCGATTTGATGGTACACACACAAAAAATAATAAATTTTTTTTTTTTTAAATTTTGTGTGCGTGTACCGTCAAATCAGATCTGACTGGTACAGGAGGATATTGCGCCTCCTTCTCCGGCAGAGCGTCTGGTGGATTCGAACTGTGTTCCTCTGGGATTGCACTGCAGCTTCTTACCACTAGGCCACCAGAGCTCCCCTAATAAAATAAATTTTTAAAAAGACTTTTTTAAATAAAAAAAAAGTGATGAAGATTGTAGAACTTGTAAGAATTTGCAGATATGTATTTTTGAAGACCTATTATTACTTATATGATAAAGGAGAAAATTATTTTTTCTTTTCCTTTCAGTGCTGTAACCTATTCTGGAATCCATCTGCTGAGATGCTTTATAGCAAATATAACAGGAAATCTTAAGACTGATGACACCTAACATAGCTGAAGATGCAAATGTTTTATGCCAACTGAAGTTAAACACTTAGAAGAAAATTAACATTGTTTTAAATGTTATTTATTGACAACTTGCAAGACTGCTTCAGCTTTAAAATATGCTGCTTCTCAAAGAATGAATTTGTGCCTGGGAAAAGAACTTTAAATATAATTATGGTCTTCATTAGACCAGATACTATTTTTCCTATTTAACAAACTGACAAGAACATACAGAATTCTATTTTTTAAATAAAAACTAAAAGGATAACAAACCAATTACTACTATGTAGAGAAAGGTTTACTGTGTTTCTTATTGGAATTTTGTCTTTTAAAGAATGTCTGTGATCATGTATGTATTTTAAGTATTAAATATATAGGTAAATGGATACATTTTACTTTTATAATTTTTTTAATCTTTATTTGTTGTATTTTTTAAAAAATTACTCTTGAAAATGTTTTAAGTCAGTTCATGTTAGCAGTACCAATAATTTCTTGGTGGAATCATTCATCTGTATCGCTAGAACATAGAATTCAGATTCTGGTCCCGTTTCTGATACTTCTTATTTACTAGATGTCTGAAAAATTGCTTGACTTGAGCCTCATTTGTAACTGTAGCCTCACAAGTTATGAAGATTTTTTTAAAACCGTCTGCACATTTGTAAAGCAAAACCAACCAAAGAATACACAATTTACACGTACATTTGTCACCCAAAAATACCATCCTGTCATAGAGGATGTAACATGTTCTCGGATGAAAGGCAAAACACAGCTCTAAGTGACAAAACTGATTTGCAAAGGGCAAGCAAAAAAAGTTGTGTGACAGTTTAGAATTGGTTCATTAAAATTGAAGATGGAAAGACAAAGGCTTAGCTTGAATTAAAAGTTAATGAAAAAAGATTTCTATGATGCCATTGCTGACCTGTTTACAGTAGTTTTGACTTGCTGGGTATTTAAAGGTTGTAGCAAAACAGATTTTTTTTTTAAAAGGCTATTTTAAAAACCCAACTTTCAAAAGAATTTCTAATATATTTTTAGTTGTTAGACATAGTATAGAATATACGGGCCTGCTAAGTGAAGGTCATCAGTTCAAATCCACCAGCTACTCCAGGGGAAGAAGATGGACAGTCTCCATCTATAATGAGTTAGAGCCTCAGAAACCTGATCGAGGGTTGCTGTGAGTGGGACCCAGCTCCATGGCTGTGGGCTAGCGTTTTGGTTTACAGTTGATTGTTGTGTTGGTTACTGTCGAGTCTGAACTGACCCACATCTAACCCTCTTGTGAATTTTCAAAGGCTGTAAATTACAGGGGAGAAGAATGCCCATCTTTCTCACAAGGTGAGGCAGATTGATGTGAACTGCAGATGTACTACATTTGGTTAGCAGTTGTTGCTTGCCATCAAGTTGACCCCGACTCATAGTGACCATGTGAACAAAAGACCTAAAGCCTTTCTATAACTGTCATCATTTATCAGTTTCATAGTTTCCAGAGGCATGTGGTTTAGGAAGTGGAAGCCACCCGTGCTTCCAAACCTGTCTTAAACTGGGAGTTCCACCAAACACTGTCTACCATGGGTAACCGTTATGGCATTTGACATCCCAGTGGCACAAAGTGAAGCATCACAGCCACCCCAGGTTACCTCAGTACCTGACTGAAGAGTGTTGTACCACTTAGAAGAATGTTCCTCCAGAATATAACAACTTACTTTTAAATACAGAGGCCCTCCACGATGTCTTGTTGACTCTAAACAAGAGGCTTAAATAAAACGACCAGATTAGTAGGTTATTAGGTGCCGTTGAATCGTCTGTGATATAGACTATGTTAAGTAAATGTAATTGCGTTAGTCTAATTTTTTTCTTTCAGGTTTCACAGTTCTGTGTATCCCAAGTATACTATACGTCAGTTATTCAGTACCAATTCACATTCATTTGTGGATACCCAACAGCATGTGCTTGCCACATAAAAGAAATTTTACACTTTTCTTAAGAACATGGCAAATTCTGTACTTTCCTAGATTATCTTAAGGATAGTTTTTTTTAAGACTGCTGTGTTTAATGTATTCCTACCTTACAGACTCACATCAAAAACTGAACTATGTCATCATTACTGTGAAGGTAAGGGTAGTTTTGATTTAAGATTAAACCTAGAAGAGACAGCATCTACCAGGAAATCAGCCTAACTAGAGAAGCTGTGGAAGAAGAGCAGAGAAAAGCAGGAACTGGTGAAGGAAGAGAAGAGAGGATGATACGTGGAGATACGACAAAGAAATGAAAGAAGACAGACACAGATGCTTGGAGAAGGACATCATGCTCGAAAGGGTGCAGTACAGGACAGGAAAACACTGGATAAGATGGACTGATAGAGTAACTGGGGTGAAGGGATTAGGTATGTCAGAGTCAGACTAGCTCAGGACAGAGCAGGCTTCAGAGCTGTTGTACATAGGGTCGCTATGATTCACAGGCACATGCCAGCAATGGGGGTTGGAACCCCACACTTGACAGCTGCTAACCAAAAGCCTGAAATTTAAAGTTCTGACTGCTAAGAAAGGCCTGGTCACCCAATTCTGAAAAGTCAGTCGTGGAAAGCTAGCTGCAGCATGGTTCTGGCTCACTTGGGAGTCATGAGTTGGAATCCACTTCTCAACTTTGTAAAAATGGTTGGAAAATCTTGAAGGAGTTTCTATGTCTCTTACTACTTGTTGGCCCTGTCATCTTCACTTCTTAACCTCAGCTTCTCCATCTGTCATATGGAAGTGACCACTCTGATGCTGCCTTCTTTCAAGAGTGTGCTACAGTGCGGCTTGATGAAGGGATCAGAACAGTGGCCATGGGACAGTAATACACTGCTAGTAACAAAAACTACAGAGAAAAAAGAATGCAGACACAGATGATAATAAAGACTATAGGAAAAAATACAGACCTAGATAACCAAAACTACAGGTAAAGATGACAACATAAAACTAAAGGAAAAAAATACATACCCATATGATAACAAAAACGACAGAAAAAAACACAGCAGGACTGAACAGATCTCAAAATCCTACCTGGCATACTGAAGTGCTTTGTTTTCTCTAAGATCAACTTTAATGTTACTTTTGGGCAAGATTAACTTCAGTCCTGGTAACAAAGGCAGTACTGTGAGCCTTGCCTGGTGTGTCTGCATCTAGCCATGCTCAGTCATGGTGAGGAAGTCAAGTTGGTTAGCAGTACGACACCGAAAAACTCAGCCCCTAGAGCCTTGCCAGGATTGAATAGGAGAAAAATGAAGAGATGCACTCTGGAGGAGCATTATTAGAGATGCTAAGGTTCTTTTCAGGGAGAAACACATTTTCCAAGGTCCACCCAACTACAAAAATTTATTCTGGAGCATTGCCACTTCAGATGGAAAAAACCTAAGCCTAGAGACTTACTAGCTCGTTTGGTACCATTGTATTGAGTATGAAAGCAACCCTATGAACAGCAGATCTGAACGTTGCCTTATGTGTGCCATCATCATCTCTGATGCACTTGAACATATTGTTGGCCACTGTCAGTACATCTTGTTGAGGATCTTCCTCTCCTTCACTGACCTAGTCAAACACAGTATCTTTTTTCCCAAGGACTACTCCCCGCCAAACATGTGCTCAAAGGTCCGTGATACAAAGTTTCACTGCCTTTACCTCTGTGGAGCACCTCGGTTGTGCTTTAAGACATATTTCTTTTGGTAGTCTGTGGGAAATCTGTACTCTTCTCCAATATCACAACTCAAAACTATCAATAATTCTTCTGTATTTATCAGATAGAATCTTATTGCCTCATGCCTGTGCCTTGGTATTAAAAAAAACTTTAGTGTTGCTTATAAAAGAAATAGTGTAAGTAGGTGGCTTTGACAACCAGAATTTCTCCAGTTCCAGAGACTCCCAAGTCCACATTCACAATGACAGCTAGGGGACAGTTTCTGTTGGCTGTGTGTGTGTGTGTGTCTTGTCTGTCTCTTTTCAACTTCTATTCCTTGGTGGTCTTCATGCAACATGCCATCTATCTTCATCTCTTCTATTCTTCCTCACTTAATCTCCTTTGATAAGTCTGGATTGATTAAAGATACAACCTACAATACTCTTTCTCAAGCACCTACCAAAGAAAATTCATCCTCACATGACGTTACAATCCCAAGTACCATTCACTCACTGCCTTCAAGTCAGAACTCATAACCAAGCCTCCAGTGGGTTTTAAAGATAATAAATCACACCAGAAAAGACTGCCCATCTAACACTCACTGGGGGAGTTAAATGGCCAGAAGCATAACCTTGGAGCGAGCAGCTCAACTCCCTGCAGTCTGTGCCATTGTCATTAAGTCAGAACCAGCTCATAACAAACTGTCCACTGAGTTTCAAGGCTGTAAATCATATGAGAGATTGCCCATTTTACCTTAGCTGCAGGTGGACTTGAACTGCCAGAAACACCATATTTAGATTAGCAGCCTCTCTCACTACAGGCGCCACTACCAGAACTCACCAGCCACAGGTGCAGGGGCTACAACTTACAAGATTACAAGGTATTTGGGGAGGATAAAATTCAGGGTAGAACCCTAGTCCTACCTTGGTAACTTATTTCATGTCTTTTAATTTGTACCATGTGTGAGAAAGTGAATAAATGAAGTGAAATAATGTGTGTGGCCAATTAGTGACACATTTTTTAGTCCATCTAATGATTCGAAGCAAGAAGCCTTGGTATTATGAGGTAGACTTACTTTCAACACAACAGGGAAGGCAAGTGGTCCTCTCAGATGCTTCCTTGCTAATCCAACTACCCCCAGCCCCACTTTCTCAACACAGCATCACACTCCTTGCCATTTAATTGGAACAAACTCAGCAGAGATAAGTTTTGTAAACTATTGCAAGTATTAGTTTCCTGATAAATCACAAAATTACTTGGGTTTTCAGGGACATGCCAGCCTCCATCAAAGAAATACATCTATGCACATCCAAAAACTTCTCCAACAGGGTAAAAAGGGAAGACACAGCCTGGGAAAAAGTATTTG